CCCCCCCCCAATCTCATGTTGGTAAATAAGATCAGCAGAGCCTCCCTCACTTCATGGGAGGCCTGGAGATTTGTTTCTGTCCAGTTGGAGTGGAGACACTGTCAGACCAAGGAGCTAGACTCCAACAAAGGCCCTCTGGTTCAGCAGTTGGTGGCATGCCTCCAAGGAGGATGAACAGGTCCCCCCTAGGTGCTGGGCCTGCTGCAGGGTTTGGAAGAGAGTCTGAAGCCCAGTGAGAAGGCAGGCCCCTTTTTGTCTCCACTTCTGCAGGGTAGCCTCGAGGCAAGGTTTGGTAGAGGAACTGGCAGACAACTACTTTTTGCATTGTGCCATAAAGTGCCTATTTACTCTCCAACATCTGTGGACATCGGGATGCTGGTCACCCTAATGGGAAGCTCCCATCCATATGTACAGTTAGCTCTTTTCTAGCAGAGCGAGAGCTACAGGAATGCTTACAATGGAGAAGACATGGTTAGGATCTTCAGTGATCTGAGGAGCTGATGTGTGGGAAGTAGGCTAAGCTCCTTGGCTTGGTACCAGAAGCAAGGACTGGGAGCTTAGATCTGTGTGGTGTCACACACGGGGCTGAGTACCTTCCCATTGGGTCTCTCCTTAATCCTCGGGAGCTGCAGCTGGGAGGTTGTGATCCCAATTTACAGATGAAGGATGATGCTTGGTGTTGCTAAGTGCCATTGAGTTAGTTTCAATTCACAGCAGCCTTGTTTACAACAGAAGGGAGCCCCGCCCAGCCCTGCGCCATCTTCCAGTTGCTTTGTTTGAACCCATTGTTGCAGTCACTGGGTCAGTTCATCTTGTTGAGGGTCTTCCTCTTTTTTTGCTGACCCTCTACCAAACATGATGTCTCTCTCCGGGGATGAGACCCTCATGCTAACATGTCCAGAGTATGTGAGACCAAGTTTCACCCATCTCACTTCTGAGAAGCATTCTGTCGGTACTTCTTCCAAATCAGATGTGTTTGTTCTTCTGGCAGTCCATGGTCTATTTCATTTTCTTCGCCAGTACCATCATTCAAAGGCATCAAAAAGAAAAGCATGCAAGGTGACACAGCTTCCAAGGACCCAGCTGGAATTGGAGCCCAGGTCTCCACTGTGGAAACTGTACCCTGATATGATGGAGACACAGTTTAGTTCAGTCTAAGAAGCAGTTGTTGTTCTAAGATAGCAGAACTGTACAGTAGTGGAAGGAAAGGAGCTTCCCGGCCCGATGCTGTTGGAGCAGGGGTTTATGGAGGATGCTGAGGAGAGGTGTTCTGTGTTGAGGCTGCCCCAGCCCTGCCCTCAGCACCTTGTTCCTCAGAGAATTCACGGTGAGGGCTTCTAGTTAAGGCCTCGTATTGACCTCTGAGAATTTCATTCGAGTTGAGACTTGGACTCCCATGTATGGGAAAAATCTCCCCCTTAATAGTTGTGCCATCTGGATTAGATGCCCTTCAGGGTGCACTGAGGAATGTCTCAGGGCCAGGTTGAACTGAGCACTGAGCTATGCTTTACTTTTGGAATAGAACATAAAAACAAAGCCTATGTTTTTTAAAAAAATATGCCCTAACTTTCATCCTTCTCCAAATTTCTGAACTGGGCTACTCCTGCCCAAACCACAGTAGTCAGCTTAGACTCAATAATATTAATTTTTAAGGTATAATTAATTTTTAAACTTTTTTCTTGTTTATAAACATATTAACCCATTGAAGGAAACAAAAAATACAGAAGTATGAAGAATACAAAAAATGACTCTGTAGTGAAGAGTTAAAGTGAGCAGAGGTAATTGTTCTTAACTAATGCCATATGGAAGGGATTATCTGTGGGAGAAAGATGAGGTGTTCTGCTCCCGTAAAGATTTACACCCTCGGAAACCCTGTACAGGGTCGCTATGGGTCGGACCCGACTCGATGGCACTTAACAACAACAACAACAGGTTGATGACATGGAAATTGTTGTTTCTTTCTACTCCTGGTCTACCACAGTGTAGTGTAGTCAGGTAAGATAAATAACTACAGATTTATTGCACTTGGAAAAAAGGTATGTTAACATCATCTTAGAACTGAAAACAATCTTGGAATAACATGAATGTTAACTTGGTGTACAAAGTTCATGCTCTACCTTGGCCTCATGACCTTGAGCAAGTTACTTCTGGAATCCCAGTTTCCTCAGCTGTCATTTGGGGATGTCTTTCTTTGAGAAAGCTTAATTGATTACCTGGTAACCTTCCCAAATAATGCACAAGTAATGTGTATTTCTTTAGATCATCATATAGTCCAATCTTTTTTACAGATGGAGACTCCAAGGCCTTGAGAAACCCGAGTGACTTCCAATAGTAGTCAGTTACTCTGCAGCAGAGTCAGGATTAAAATCCAGGTCTCCTTGTCTGTACATTCAGCTAAGATGAATGAATAGAGTTTGCATCTACATTTTACTACACCACCACCCAGTTGTCAGGCTGCCTTAAATAATGGCCAGCTAAAGCTAGCACTGTCCTCTGGAAACCTGGTAAATTTACCTTTTTTGTGTTAAGCTAAATCGAGAAGTGATGGTTGCTATCTTAGTTGTCTTGGCACAACTCTGTGCATTCATTTCATTTCTTCTTCATCATATATTTACAGAACTCCCACTGTTTGCTGCAGATTAATGGTGAGCCAAGCAATCTGTGTTCCTATGGTGCTTCTGTTATGTCTGGTATACCCTACTGCAGAGGATATTGACAATATTTTTCTCAGCCAAAATCTTACTCTTCTGTCCTTAGGTAGAATGATTATTACTAAGAGTAGCTACTGTGTGCCGGTCATCCCACATGGGCCCTGTGAGATAAGGTAGATGTATTAGCCCTGTTTTACAGATGAAAAAACTGAGGATCAGAGAGGAAGCACAGTGTAATAGTAGTTGATAAAATGGACTATGGCATTAGGCTGTCTGGATTTGAATCCTGCCTCTAATGCTCACTGACTAACTAGGACTTTGGGCATATTACTTTACCTCTTGGTCTGTAAGATATGGATAATAACAGTACGGCTGTCTTCTGTAATCCTCAGTGATCATGTTATGAATTCCCTGGTTGGTGTCAATGGTTTACATACTTAGCTGCTTCTGAAAAATCAGCCCTTGAAAGCCGTATGTAGCACACTCGGACAATCATGTCATAGTCACAAGTTAGTTAGAACCCTTCCTGGCTCCTTTGTTGTTGTTAAATGCTTTCAAGTCAGTTCTGACCCATAGTGACCTTGTGGTTCAAACCGACTTTCAATCCAGTGCATTAACCCTCAGCACCACACCAAGACCCCTAGCAAGTGCTATATGCTTGCTATTAGTGAAATAAAATATTCTTGCTTAAAGTATTATCCCTAGTTTGTTTGCAGATGTGATTTGAATCTACAATTTTACGCTTCCAAAACCCAAGGTCCTAGCAACTGTACTATATTCCTTCCTTTTGACATCAAGACAGTCTATTGACCAGA